ATAAGGAAAGCAGGAATAATTGGGTTGGGGGATTTGTATTAGGGCAGTAGTTTCAAACCATGTCAGATATCCCTTAAAGGTGCCTCAGGGAAGGGCAAGGAGTGCTTGGTTGAGAAGGAAAGGGGAAGTCTACTCTGTTAGCCAGCACAGCTCTTGTTTTCATCAATTTTACATATTAAGTGTTGGGCTAGAAAAAGAAAGTTGAAAATCCCTGTTTGGTGGTACTAGGCTATTAGATGGTTAGAGATACGAAACCCAAAGTAGATACTAATGAGATAAGTGAGGCACAAACCTCTCAGTAATATTTAAGAACAGTTCATCCGAGTAGTATTGAATCAAGGTCAGGATCTTGTCTGGTAGTAAGTACTGATTTAAAAGCAGAGCAGTATGCTGTGGATTTCTTAGAATTGACCATATGAATTGTCTATTCATTCATAGAAATGAATAGTAGGTGTTAGTAGATAATAGTTTATGATTTGAAAAAGTTGTTGCAGATGAGTAGCAAAATTTTTAAGTGATGAAAAAATGAAATAGCCTAGTAACTAGAAAATGGCAGCACAGAACAAAAGTATTTTCCGTGGTGATTGCTACCATTCAGGGGAGGATTAAGGAACAGGAGTGGGCTCTGCATCTATTGGAGAGAGAGAGCACGAGCTAAAGTAGGTGAAATGTTTGTTGTAGAGCAAAATTACTCTTGATGTAGAGATACAGACAAGAAGTAAGACATTAATTTAGAATGAAGACTTCTTAATGTAGAAAGGGAGTACCTAAGAAAGAAAGAAAGATAGAAGCCGGGGCGCCTGGGTGGCTTAGTCGTGAAGCGTCTGCCTTCGGCTCAGATCATAATCCCAGGGTCCTGGGATCGAGCCCCGTGTCGGGCTCCCTGCTCCGCGGGAAGCCTCCTTCTCCCTCTCCCACTCCCCCTGCTTGTGTTCCCTCTCGCTGTGTCTCTCTCTGTCAAATAAATTAAAAAAAAAAAAGAAGAAGAAGAAGCCATTAAAAAGTGTGATAGAAAGCAGAGAATAAGGTTGGGGGCTAAGGTTTATAAATTTGCATTAAAAGTGGAATACAGAATACAGAGGATTAAAGTATGTTAGGCAGTAGGAAAAGGGATAGTAAATAGAAAAAAAGGTATGCAGAAGGAAAACATGGGGGATTCTGTTTTTTCTGGAATTGGGTAAGTTAAAAGGGATGTCCAGGCACAGACACATTAGGATGAATGAAAACTGATATCACACCTGTAAGTCATTCTGTTTTCCCTATATATCCAGAAATAGTAAATTTAAGAACTCCCAGAGGCAAGTTAAGGCATCTTCTGTATGCAAATTATTTTACATTCCTTTTCAGCCCTTGCAGGCCTCTGGTAGAATTATGAAATTGCCCAAGCTAGGTAGGAAGGGATAGGAAGACTAAAGGACAAAATAATTCATATCTCAGTACTATCCCTTACACAAATGAGAATGGGTACAGTTTTTATAATAATGTATTGTATTTAAAGACATTCCACAGCATGTTTATTAGGCATACCTTGACAACCACTGAAAATACAAAGGTGGTAAATAAGGTCTTGTGCTCACAGAATCCAGGATATATTGACTCATTCGAACATAAGAATAAACTGGTTAATTCCTATTTCCTTTCACCCTAATATCCTTAAATATATTTTATTTAGTTGTAGAAGATGATGAAGATGACTTTCCTACAACACGTTCTGATGGAGACTTCTTGCATAACACTAATGGCAATAAGGAAAAGTGTAAGTAGTACATTTTTTTCCTCTCAGCTACATAAAGTGTTTTTTCTAAAGTTATATAATAACTAAGTATATAACAAGAATAATTATCTAATTGAGCAATTTTTTAAAAGCAGTGTAACTACTGGAAAATGAAAGTTCTTTCTAGGAAAAGACATGTAAGTAAAATATATATTCTGACATTAAATAATAATGGCCACTCATTATCTAACAAGACTCATTCTGAATTCCAGACATTGGCCCACTTATTTCAGCAGTATTTGGTAAAATCAGTTTCTAGTACTGAAAGTTTATTTCTTGGGGGAAGCATTATAATGGAATTTGAATGTTTATTTAGAGTATATTTCTCTGTTCAACATTCTTTTCTGTCTCCACTCAATAAACTGGTGTTGAAAAGTACATATTCAGTGTTATTAAAGGAAAATTATTAAAAATAGCTCTGATTTCATAGTGCAGTTGTTTACAGACCCAGGAGCAAGGTGGCTTATTTCATATACTCATTTATTGTTGCTCTGTTTATAACGGCTTATTAGATGGAATTCTGAATTGTTCATTTGAAACCTGTGATTTGCGAGTCCCTGCATACGGGCTCCTTGCTCAGCAGGGAGCCTGCTTCTCCCTCTGCCTGCCCCTCCCCCTGCTTGTGCTCTCTCTGTCTCTCCCTCTCTCTCTGACAAATAAATGGATCTTTGAAAAAAAAAAGAAAGAAACCTGTGATTTGTGACAACATGGATGAACCTCAAGGGCCTTGTAGTAAAAGAAATAAACCAAAGACAAATACTGCATGGTATCACTTACATGAGGAATCTTAAACAAACAAAACCAGGAACCTGTGATTCATAGTCAGTACTCTTCTTTTGACATATCTTAAGAAAAAATGAGTAGGTTTGCAAAAAATTTTTTTAATTACAAAAATAAGACTTTGTGAAAAAAAATAAGTTAATTGTGCTTATTTTTGCTAAAGTTGTGAAAGAATGTGAAGTATAATTTATACCTATTTTCAAATAATTTTTCAAATTGTTGTATTCATGGCATTAATTTTCTATTTCAGAGATCACAGTGGAATATTCCATTATTGATACTAAAGTCTGATGCTTCTTTCTCCCCATTTTATCCTTCTTTCCCTCTTCCTGTTTCTTATTTTCATCATGGCTCTCTTCCTCCTTATGACCTGCCCCCTCCCAGTCTTGCAAAATACTAGCTTCTTACTACAAACTGGTCCTTCCAACTTGGAACTAAAATACTGAACCTTACTGAGTCATCTAGATTTGCCTTTATGAAATTAGAGGATTATTTTGGAAAGATTCTTTCAAGTTACATTTTAATTTCACAATGTATAATCTGCTTTAATAGAAAAAAGATTTTGTTTGGACATTGAAAAAATTGTAAAACTTTCAGGTCCAGTCTTCCGTCCTGGTCAGCTCCCCTGCCTACATTCCCCAGAATTGAAGGGAAACTTACTTTCTGTAGAAATTGAACTGGAGGGTTCTAGATTCAGGAATACCTGACATAGTAAAGGATAGGTGTATTGGCCTATCGTTAAAGGGATTACGTGGAAATTTACATACTGATTGTTGAAATTTAACAGGCTCATTGTTCTGTTTATCCGAGAACCCTAAACCAAGCACTAAATGAAAGTCTACTTACTGCAGCTCCTTTCTTCTACTGTGTTTCCAGAATACGCATCAACCAAGCATATATTTTCTGATACAGAATTAGAACATAACTCTGTAGATGCTGAATGACCACAAAGAAAGGACCTATAAATAGAGATTTTCTATGTCCACCGTGAAAAAGCTGTCTCACTACCAGATCACCCTTTGATGAAGTCCACTAATTAAAAAACCCTGCTAGTGCTTACAGAGCTTCCAGTAATTTACTCTTAAATATGAACAGATAGCCAGATTTCCAGACATTTGAGGAAAGCCTCCAGTCTCTCTCTTTTTGAAAAGAGCCTTGAAACCAAGCAACAGAAGACAGGGTTATTAAAGTCATTTTGAGAAATATCCTACAAGATGTTTGTATAATTTTTTAAATCATGAGTCATGTTTTAAGTACACTTCTGGAATTCACTGTTTAAAGTAATTCCTTTCTTAGTGTTGATGAAAATTAACTCTTGTTAATCACCATAGATGGAAAGTATCTTTCTGTGGTTAACCTCTAGAAGTAAGTTGGAAGCTTTGTATATAATCTGGTAAAGTGAACAAAACATGAAGTCTTTAAAAACCTGGTACTACTTAATCATAGCCTGGGATTAGGGTGTCAGTCATCTCTCAAATAAAGACAGGGTCTTTCTGCTAGATCCAACAAGCATCAGAAAAAGGAGAAATGATACTTCATTCTTGAGAGTGGTTATTATAATGATACTCACCATTATAGCCATCATTAAAGATTTGGTTTAGATCACATATTGTGATAGTAATATGTTAAGTTTTTAAAAATTTAAAACTAGTATACCAACCTGATAGTAAGTTGTATGTATTTCAAGAATAGGATTAGGGGTGGGTTTTGAAGAGTAGAGTAAAACATCCACAGGTTCTAAGATAAGAAGAAAGGCAATTAAAGTAATTTGAATTTTAGACCAGAGGAGGAATTTTTGGTTACAAAAACACCTTCCTCAGTTAAAGACCTCAGGAGTTTAGATCATGGCAGAAGGACTTTTTGCTCAATCTTTTGTGAATAAACTTCTTATTTACCTCTAATGTAAATTTTCTTCTGTTATATGCTGTGTCATCTTTTCTTAATTTGTATTTCTAGGGTCAAAAGGGGAGACTTTATGATGACATTTCAATTCATCAGAAAGATATAACAATTGTAACATGTAGTTGCATGTAATAACAGAACCCCAAAATACATGGACCAAACCTGACCAAATTGAAGAGAAAAAAAAAGACAATTCAGTAGTAATAGTTTGAGACTTAAATATCTAGCTTTCAACAATTGATAGAAAAAGTAGGAAAAAGACCAATAAGGAAATAAAATACTTATAAACAATCAGACCTGGTAGACACGTACACAATACTCCACTTAACAATAGGAGAATATATGTTCTTCTCAGTAGTACATGTAACATTCTTCAGGAGAGAGCTTATTCTTGGCCATAAAACAAGCTCCAACTAATTTAAAAGGATTGAAATCATACAAAGTACGTCATTTAACCACAAAGGAATAAAATTTGAGATCAATGATAGAAATTTAGAAAATTCATAAATACATGGAAATTAACACACTCCTACATAACTAGTGAATTAAAGACAAAAATCACAAAGCAAATTAGAAAATACTGTGAGATGAATGAAAGCAAAAATACAAGATACCAAAACAGATGGGCTGCAGCTAAAGCTGTGCTTAGAGGGAAATGTATAGCTGAAACACCTTTATTATAAAAGAAGAAAGAGGGTCGCCTGGGTGGCTCACATGGTTAAGCATCTACCATGGGTTCAGGTTGTCCCTGGGATCAAGCCCCTTATCGGGCTCCCTGCTCAGTGGGGAGTCTGCTTCTCCCTCTCCCTTTGCCCCTCCCCCCACCTATTCTCTCTGTCTCTCTCTCAAATGAATAAAATCTTTAAAAAAAAGAGAGAGACTCAAAAAACAACACAAACTATAAATTGGTTCTTTGAAAAGATACCAAATTAACAAAATTAAAGATACCAAAATTAAATTTTGATGAATTAATCAAAAAACACAAACTATAACCTCATTCTTTGAAAAGATACCAAATTTTTTTTTTTAAGATTTTATTTATTTACTTGAGAGAGACCAAGAGAGAGAACATGAGCGGGGGTGGGGGGAGCAGAGGGAGAAGCAGACTCCCCACTGAGCAGGGAGCCCAATGTGGGGCTCGATCCCAGGATCATGACCAGAGCCGAAGGCAGACGCTCAACCCACTGAGCTGCCCAGGCACCCCAAAAAGATATTAAAATTATTAGCTAAACTGATCAAAATAAAGAGAAGATTCAAATTACTAAAATCAGAAATGAAAGGAAGGTTATTACTACTGACCTTTTAGAAATAAAAAGGATTAAAGGGGAAGGCAATAAATAAATGTATGCCGACAAATTTGATAACTTAGATGACATGGACAGAAGTCTTAGAAAGGCACAAACTACTGAACTTGACTCAAGTAGACATAGAAAATGCAAATAGACCAATAATAAATAAAGAGATATAATTAGTAATAAACTTCCCACAAAGAAAAGCCCAGCCTCAGTTGGCCTCACTGCTTAATTCTAAACATTTAAAGAAGAATTAATGCTGTTTCTTCACAAATTCTTCCAAACTTTAGGAGGAATACTTCTTAAATTGTTTGCTGAGGCCAGTTTTACCTTGATACCAAAACAAGACAAAGGTATCGCAAAACTATAGGCCAATATCTCTTATGAATATAGATACAAATACTCAATAAAGTACTGGCAAACCAAATCCAGCAACATCTAAAAAGGATTATACACCATTACCAGAAGGGATTTATCCCAGAATGCAGTTAGCTTAACATGGGAAAATCAGTTGATACAATAATCATATCAGTAGAATAAAGGCCAAAACTGGTGGTCATCTCAGTAGATGTTGAAAAAACATTTGACAAAATCTAATACTCTTTCATGATAAAAACACTCAAAAAACTAGGAATGACTACCCAAAGTATCTGTGAAAAACCCACAATGAACATCACATTTAATGGTGAAGGAGTGAATGCTTTTCCCCTGATATCAGGAACATGTCCATTCTTGCCACTTCTGTTCAGCACTGCATTAAAGATTCTAGCTAGGACAACTGGACAAGAAAAATAAATAAAAGGCATCCCAATTCAGAAGGAAGAATTAAGATTATTTCTATTTGAAGATGCCATTATCTTGTATAGCAAAAAAGCATAAGAAATCCACTAAAAAACTATTAGAACTAACATGAGTTCAGCAGGATTGCAGGGAATAAGATCAATATATAAAAAATCAATTGTGGGGTGCTTGGCTGGCTCATTTAATGGAGTATGTGACTCTTGATCT